ACAAGTTGCTGTATCTAACATAGCTGTTCGCTATCATCGCTTCCGCGATGAGCATGTCTGAGGTCTGAGGTGTGTATGTGTGTGTGTGTGCATATGTGTGTGTGTGTGTGTGTGTGTGTGTGTATGTATGTGTGTGTTTTGGACTGCACCATGATTCTCTAGAAATTGACAAGTGGGTGCTGGCCGGTGGAAGCTGGGGGTCTACGCTGGCTCTTACTTATGCATGTTGTCATGCCGACAGAGTCATGGCAATTGTTATGTTTGGCATATTGACATGCCGCAAGTAAGTTATCACTCTTGAGACTTTGTAGTCGCTTGTATCTACGGAGCACCGTTGCACTTTCTCTCTCTCTCTCTCTCTCTCTCTCTCTCTCTCTCTCTCTCCCTCCCTCCCTCCCTCCCTCCCCCCCCCCCCCCCCCTCTCTCTCTCTCTCTCTCAGCCAGCAATCACATGTCATCACGTACATTGAAAATCAACATAATTTTGCGAATCGACCTTTTTTTTCAGCATCACTTTTCAACGAGGACGAAGCAAAGCCGGCCGAACGAAGCCTAGAGGAAGAAAATCACCCTCTCCACGTCGCCATCACGATAGTGACGATACTGACATAGATACGAGACAAAACAACTAAAAAATCCAGAAGAAAACTGTACGGCCATCTTCGCGCTGACTTTGGTCTGACTTTGTTCTGAGAATGTTCTATCACTATCAAAAATGTACGAGGAGCACTCAAAAATGTGCTACAGACGTACCTTTATCGCTCTCTACTTCTTTTTCAAGGTACAAAAGTCGACTCTCCACTTTCAAACCAGGAACCAGACATGCCAGTTGTCCTTTTCAGCTGCTCCACGAGCGCAGGAAATGTTCACCAAGGGTCGCAGAGCAGCATCCATTCCAGAAAAAGAGCTAAAATACGAGTGAGACTGCATGCCTGAGTACTTGAGTACATGTATGAGTACATGCAGAAAATAGTCAATTTCAGCGTTTCTGCTCCAAACAGCAACTAGTTTCGACTAGCTACAAAGATTACACCGAAGGATCAAACAACAACCATTTCTTCAGTTTTTTTGGCAGATGGCTTCCTTGTGCTTGGCCCAGCACGCCGCAAAAAGCACACCTCGGAGGAGCACAACAATTACAACTCTCAGATGTCCTCGATTGCTGGCCATCTCTCTCTCTCTCTCTCTCTCTCTCTCTCTCTCTCTCTCTCTCTCTCTTTTCTTTTTTTACGAAAAACCACGAACCTCGAGAACAGAATACTGCATGATAGAGGTGGTTGCAGACGCAACTGTGGTGGTGAAACTGGAGCATCTCCGCCGACCTGAGGCTGAGGTCTCGGCGCCAGCAACTCTTCAGTGTTTCTTCTCTTGCCCGTGTGTGTGCGCCGCTCACGCAGGAGTGAAATCGACTGGCTGTTCAACGGAGGAGCTGGCAACGTGTTTCCCGAGTACTGGCAGCGGTTCGCTGACCCCATACCGGAGGATGAGCGTGGTGACATGGTGCAAGCCTATCACAAGAGGATAACCGGAGATGACCCAGAGGTACACAGTATAGGTCAGCCTACATCTGGTGCGTAGCACCGCCGTTGGAGGTGCCGGGTCCAGCCGGAGGGGGTCTGGGGACAGTTTTGAAATCGGGGGGGGGGGGGGGTGCAAAATCCTGCATTCTGGGCACTTCTGGGCGAAAAAGTGGTCCGGCCAAAGCCGGACCGAAGCCGGACCGGCTGCTACACCCCCCCCCCCCCCCCCCTGCTACACCCCCCCCCCTGCACACAGTACATGTACATGCATCCTACATGTAGTACAGTCGTGGCCAAAGCAATCCTATCCGTGAGGCTTATGTCGCACCGCGTTTCCGTTTCAATGCATCGCGCACGGCCCAAAATCGACCCGGGGGCCGCAGGGGCCGCATGAGCCTCGGCGCTGCTTTCGGCACTTGGCTCGGATTTCTTTGTCCACAACTGTAGAACTACAGTACACAAGACCAAGCATTGTTTACTTTCTACTTCTTTTGAAGTAATCTGACTGCGACATAATATCGATGAAAGTAAAGTGATTAACTTTTGAAAGGCTTGGGAGAACTTCAAAAATTAATTCAACTGACCGTGGTTGGACCCCTGGGGGAGGGAAAAAGACCCAAGTGCCACCGGTATGTGTGGCACGTGTTGTGCGCTGCCTTTGGAGTGGAAAACTAGTCAGCGCCTCCTAGGTTTAGCCTGGTCCCATTAGAGCACTGCTCATGACAAGCGAGGTCCGGGTTTGAGTCCTGGTGGGTCTGGCATTTTTTCTCTTTTCAGACAGTTCACTTCCCCGACTGAAAGTAAAGTGAGCCTTACTTTCATCGATTATAGGTTTCTTATCTCCACGCCAACTTTGACTGCAACATTTTAGTTTTTTCATGGTAATTTCAAATATCATGTCAACTGTGCTAAAGTATGGCGAGTGTACTGGCTGTTGTAACCATGGCAACGGTGGTAACCACAAAGTCGTATCAACTGTGGTAATTATGTCAATTATGTCAGCCATTGTGACCATGTAGCCATGTCGTGGTTGGCTATAAAAACCCTGCAATCGCCACGCAAAGTGGTCATTGGCTACCCCAGCCATGTATTGCTTGGAATAAATAAATAAATGTCAGCTGCGGTAGCCGTTTCCGTGCTTTCCCGTGTGTGTATATTCGTTTGTGTTCTGCCCGGATCCTGCGGCAGGAGGTGGCCAGGTGCGCGCTGGCCTGGTCCCAGTGGGAGTGCGCCTCGGAGAATTTCCTGATCAGCGAGGAGCGCATACGCAGCGCCGGCGACGACTGGGCCATCTGCAGAGCCAAGCATGAATGGTGAGATCTGCATGCACGCATACACGGTGCACTACAGATGTATGGAGAAGCAGATCCAAAAACCAGATTTCTAAAAAATTAACGTTGGTTTTTGAGCCTCAATTCGCCCAAAATCAGGCTTTCAAAATCCAGTGGGACTGTTTCTATGCATGGTGAGATCTGCATGCACGCATACACGGTGCACTACAGATGTATAGAGTAGTAGATCCAAAAACCAAATTTTTTAAAAATTAACTTGGGTTTTGAGCCTCAATTCGGCCAAAATCAGGCTTTCAAAATCCAGTGGGACTATTTCTAGGAATGGCGAGATCTGCATGCACGCATACACGGTGCACTACAAATGTATGGAAAAGCAGATCCAAAAACCAGATTTAAGAAAAACTGTGGGTTTTCGAGCCTCAATTCGGCCAAAATCAGGCTTTCAAAATCCAGCGGGACTATTCCCCACGAATGGACTGTAAAGTGCCGAGTATCCGCACCTCTTGGCATGTACGGCGTCTCCGGGGGGCTCGGCTGAGAATTATGTTCAGTTATTGCAGGGGGGGGGGGGGGTGGGACACACCGGCCTTAAACATGCGCACTGATCCCCGACTGGACACCAACATTGCCGCACGCCTCGCTTGGCGAAGTTACTACTTCCTCCGTTAACAAAAACTTCGTGATGGATTTTGATGGATATGAAAACGCTTAGAACAGGTCAAGAACAGTTTGTATCGACTGCCAATCACTGGACGAAGGTGATTCAGGCTATGTACAGCGTCTTTACAAGAGACACTGTTGGCGGAATGACCAGAGAGTTCAGTTTGCGTCGCTTTCGCTCGACCAATTTTGACCTGCGTTGCTGTCGTCATCTGCTGCACGCGCGTCGTCATCTGCTGCACGCGAGTCGTCATCTCTCTCGAGTCGTTGTTCCGCTCGTTTCAGCCTTGCCTCGGCTTCTTTGATCACACTCCGCTGACCTTGATGTCGCCGTCGTTCAAGTAAGTTGGCTTTCAAGCTGCATGATGGCGATGACTCGTTTCTACCAGGGAGTCGTGAAACATTATTTTACGACTCCCTGGTTTCATCTTCGCTATCCAGAACTCCGCGAAACGAGGAGTAAAGGCACAGCCAAACTGATTCCTTTTTCTCTAATGGATACCCCTGCCAGCACTGAACGGCAGCGGCTAGCAAGTCCAATCGACTTTCTTTAGCCATGAGACTCGCATCGGACTGCAGACTTCCTGAAAGAATGCATGGTGATCATCATTCGAATCTGGGCTTTGCGCAGGTTGAACAAGAACTTGAGTTCAGAATTTGTTTCATTGAGCCGTGCGATCGGAACAGCTCCTTGTTCACTGGCTCATTGTGTGGGCTCGCTGCTCCATTTTATCGCTCTCTATCGCTCTCTATCGCTCTCCAACTTACTTAGTGCTAAAGTGGTAGAGAGGCCAACCAGCGCAATATATCCCTCGGAGAAATGGTATTTCAGTTTCGCTCACCATGACTGTCATCACCTATGTTTCCACAGCGCAACCATCGATTCCACTCGGCTTGGTGTGAAAGGTCACTTGCCTTGCATCGTACCTCTTTCATGGCATGCCAGGGAAGGCCAAGAAAGTGATTGCGACTCATTTCACGGCAGTTTGTGCCCAAATCAGCCCCTCAAAAATCCATCACGAAGTTTTTGTTAACGGAGGAAGTAGTAATAGTAGTATTACATTCTGAGGAGGGGGGGGGGGGCACATTCCGGATTCAGAGCACTGAAGATCTATGCCATGTTCTGCATTTGTCTGTGCTGTGTCCGCAGCCACTACTTAGCCCACGGCGGATTCTTCAGCTCCCGGTGGCCACGAGAGGACAACGCTCTGCTGGATCAGATTGAGAAGACTATCCAGCACGTGCCGGGCACCATTGTGCAGAGTCGCTATGACATGATATGCCCAATGAAGACCGCTTGGGATTTACACCAGGTGAGGCAAGCATAATACAGGTGGAATTCTGATTATTACTGCACGGTCGTGGCCAAAGAGATACGACCCATGAGCCGAAAGCAGCGCCAAGGCGCATGCGGCCCCTGCTGCCCGCGGATCAGGTTTTTGGCCCGTGCATGATGCAATTGAATTGACGTTTGACTCTTGGGTGTCATTTCTTTGGCCACGACTGCAACGGGATTATAAGGATTGTACATTCTATCATACCGCCTTTTGCGAAGAACAGGTTGTAGCAATTTCGGCAATAGTTGAGGAATCGTGTGTTGCTCCCTGCATGGGATCGATAGCAATGCAATGCCCCAGCTGATTCCTGGGCTCTAGGTTGTAGACATAATGTGGCACCCACCACACCAGACCCCATGTGCGGAGTCGTATGTACAGTCAGACCTCGCTTATCCAGTCCTCTCTTATCCAGATCCCTCGCCATCCGCGGAGGCAAATCGTTGGTTACCGATTTACAGCATGTGTCATACATACATGCATCCAGTATGTGTGTTTGATTATCCGGTTCTCTCGCCTATCCGGATATCTTTGTTGAAAACGGTTGTGTGCGGTTCAACGAGGTCTGACTGTGCTCTTGGGAGCTTACTGACGCTTGATGGAACCATGCGAGGCCACATCGCATGGCTTCCTACACCCTGGTTGCAATGTCGCTTTGTCTGTCCGGTGCATGCTGTTCGCACGTGTTCTGTCTTGGACTCTCGGTCCACCTCCTGCAGAGATGGAAGAAGGCCGAGTTCGTCGTCGTCCCCGATGCCGGCCACAGCCCAGCGCATCCGAACGTGCAGGCGGCGTTCCTGAAAGCAATCGACCGCTTCAAAGATGCCAGCCTGTGATCTCAGCGTGATTGGGCAACTAGCTATTGACTCCCAGCTATACAACTTACAAGCATCCGTAAATAATGAGCAGTATCGTGGAGGGAACTTGCGAGACGCAGCTCGTAAGACAAACTGATGTTCGGTCAATGAAACAACTTACCCAAGTTACCGGTACCCTGTTCTTGACTTGCCTGCATGTATCCGAAACTCTAGCTGCAGGGCTACAGCTGGCCTCGTTGATCTGAGATGACCGGTGACATATTTTCGCGGATGTGCCGAGAGCCTAAAAATATAATCATTATGTAAAGCTATGAATAGAATTAGACAGTGCGCACTCATTACTCCGACACAAAAGGCAAGGTAGGTCAAGCGTTTTCCAATAACGTATTCTTGCCATTGTGCCTAATGATTGCACCTACCAGTGCGTGAAACTCTCGAGTCATTTTCCTGGTGACCATTGTTTATCTTCAGATATTAATACAATACTTTTTTTGAAGTAATAATTATCACCCGTACTGTTGCTACTGCATCAAAATTCTGAGGGACGCCTTACGACGCACTGAGGTAACCTAAACTCTATCTAGCGTTGGTCCTGGAGAAGCTACTGCGCACTTCATGGCAGCACTGGCTACACCACGGACCATGACCGATGTCGACTGCAAATGAAGGCTAAGAATAACAGCTTGTGCTACTAGCATGGATTCTCATGATCATGTCTAATTTTTCTAAAACCTGGCTTTTAAATGAATCACCGAATATTTGGCGAGGTGGAGGGATATGCTATTGAGAAACCGGATGGATACAATTTTGAAATATATTACTTATTTTATGCCAACCCTCTAGCTTGATGACTCTGGTCAGTTTTAGCCTGGGAGTATTTTACTACTCGCTCGTTTTAGCCATTGTTTGTTTTGTTTCTAGTCACAATCCATGTTTACACCGGAAGAGTTTATCACTATGCAAGTTGCAATAATTGAAGAGTGACTGCCCCTGAACCACTTGGAGTAGTTAAATAAAAGTTAACGAGTTGTTAACAACTAAGTTCCTACTTAGCGGGCACAACGTTTAGCAACCCTGCTAACAGTACGGTAACGCCAAGAGTACATAACCGGGGGTTATGTACTCTTGCAGTCTTGGTAACACACACCTGTCTTCTATTTCTGTAGTATGACTCGTACTCGTACAAAAGGAGAGATTCTTTCCTGGAAAACATTAGACTTTGTGCCCCATTAGAGATTCAACTCTCTTACAGTAGTTTACTCCTCCCTGCTGCTTCCTACGCACCGTCCACGTGTATACCAGATCGAGTTGTCACGACACCCGAGTCATAACACGCGGCTTGGAAGTGCTATGTCTCATGTGATAAGCCAGATTGGAGTCATGCCAACGCTGACTCTTGTGTCCGCAGTCCGCACACGTCGGTCATTTCCACCAGGAGTAGTAAAATATCCGGTATTTTACTACTCCTGGTGGAAATCATACTGTAGCAGGGTGGCACGAGAGGGTGACACGGGGGAGGGGGGTGTAGTAGTACAGGATAGTCTGCCCGGTGCACGCATCCCGTACGCGTAGGCACGTGCCCTCACTAAGCACGCACGCACATGCCAACAGGGGGAGGAGGTTGAGACCCAAAGCTGGAACCAAACAACCTCACACCAGCATGCGACCAGAGGCAGAGGGACCCTGTCTACCGTACCGGGTGCCCTGTTCCGCTATGGTCAGAGTGGATATAAATTCAACCCAGAAATCGTTGCTAATTTTCGTGACTTATGGTGCCATCGCTTCCGAGCCCCGTCCCCAGAGTAACCAGTAACGGAGTACTGTAATTTCACAAAATTTCGGTGTACTTTTATTTTCGGTACTTTCGGTGCGTCTGTTTCATACCTAAAATTTCAATACACCGAACAAAACACTAACGCACATAATCCAATAGGGAACTGCTTCTCTGTGCCGAAAATTTCTGTTCACCTAACCTAGCCTGTTGCCCTCATACCGAAAATATTGAGCACCGAAATTTCTGAAATTAGTGTAACCTTCTGACAGCAGGGAGAATCGGATAACGATAGCTACAAGCTACCAATGAAATCGTAGCACGTGTTTCGGAAACAGTGCACGAGAACTAACGTCCATGCTGCGACGTGTTACGGTGCAGCCTGTGCATATACATGATGTACATAGAGTTGCTAGCTGATTGGCTGGTTGGATTCGTGTTCTAAGCAGCATGGCATGTCGGTACGAGCACATTCGAAAGCGAGAGACTCTTCCTGAACGTTATCACGTACACAACATGAAGCAAATATGATGGCAGCAAGGAGAAATTAAAAAGGGGGGGGGGGGTTATTGAATACTAAAAGACCAGCAGTTCAGCTGCTATCTCTCTCGGAACGGCGTGTTGAGGTGCTTGCAGCGCGCGACCTCGTTCTCGTAGATGCTCATCGGCATTGCTTTCGTCGCCTCGTCCTTCTGTTGCTCCAGCGTCTTCTTCTTGGGAAAGCCGAGCTTGTCGCCGTCCTCCATGTCGGGCATCTTGACGCGCTGCTCCGGTGGGACGTAGCCTTCTGCCTGCATCACCACCAGTACGTCGTGGTGACTGGTCGCGTAGTTCTCCACCTTCTCGCCGTGCGGTGACAGGTAGGGCTTGAGCTGCACACACACGGCACGGTTCAGCACAATCTGAGTGAGTGAGAGAGCACGGCAAGTGCAGCAAACTGCAGGGGTAGATTGATTTGATTCATAGTTATTACTTCCGTAAAATACCGTTGATCCGCCCCCCCCCCCACGCCATGTCGCTTCCCAGCTGGGTTTTCGGCAGGGGCGGGAATTAGATCAAGGCTGTCAAGTGCAGTACGATGTACAATAACGTGGAGGATCAGACTCAATGTGCTGAATTGCGCACATTTTCATCCTGCACTGGCACGTACTGTGTACAGCAGTGGATGCGTCGGTTCAACATCGTATTTCGTTGCATACGCCGAAGTCGCTTCACAGGTAGAAAATCGACAGGGGGCGGGAATTAGAGAGGGGGCGGGAATTAGAGAGGGGGCGGGAATTAGAGAGGGGGCGGGAATTAGAGAGGGGGCGGGAATTAGAGAGGGGGCAGATCAACGGTACTTTACGGTATGTACAATCATATTATTACAGGGTGCGACAGAGCTCTCGGCCATTGAAGAAAATGTTGAGTATCACCTCCACCACTACACTGCGCTCTCAGCCGACTAGACCCTCCTGCACACAACCATCACCACTGCGAGGACACTTCCGTAGACGATACTGATAACTTTTATTCCTTGAGACAGTTTTCATGCACATTGAAGCAGCAAATCAGATTTTCTAATCCAGCACCCCTCCCCGTATCCACCAGAATTTCCATGGCACACATGGCAACAGTTCCCAGCTGCTTTGCGCATTGCGTGTGTGGAAACAGGACATACTAGCCAACCTCTGAGTGCAGAAAGCCAAGACAGACTCAGAAACTGTCGGGTTTTGATCTATTCCAACAGTGTAATCCCCCGATTATAAGTCGCACCCGATTATAAGTCGCACTCGATTATAAGTTTATAACTTGTAAAAGTCCCGCCATCACTTTCACGACTGAGCCATCTTGTTTCCGTATGTTCGCGTAAGTAGGCTGTCGCACTCGATTGTAAGTCGCATCCCCTTCTTTGCCTTTGAGGTCTACCAAAAAAAGGTCTGACTTATATTCGGGGAAATGCGGTATTCAAGACAAGTGTTGCCTGGCCCAGTCCTATGGGAATGTCCAGTTTACCTTGAACCCCTCCAGCTCCGGTACAATCAGCAGCGGCACTCTGTTGTAAATCGGGATGTAGCCTTGCTCTGTGCACGCAGACACAAACGCACAGCACACAAGCGTGCGCACAGAAAGAGCATGCGCGCACACGCACACACACACACACACACACACACACACGCGCCGTGAGCATTGAAACTTGACCACCCATCCGCAGTGGAGAATCAGTGCTTGGCATGCCATGGCAAACCACCGCAACAGATGAAGCAAGGGCATAGTACAGTAAAACCTGTCAAGGAGACCACCTGTCCTAAAAGACCACCTGTCCTAAAAGACCACCTGTCCTAGAAGACCACCTGTCCTAAAAGACCACCTGTCCTAGAAGACCACCTGTCCTAGAAGACCACCTGTCCTAGAAGACCACCTGTCCTAAAAGACCACCTGTCCTAAAAGACCACCTGTCCTAGAAGACCACCTGTCCTAAAAGACCACCTGTCCTAGAAGACCACCTGTCCTAAAAGACCACCTGTCCTAAAAGACCACTGGAACCAGGACCAAGGGATGCTATTTCCAGTCAAATGACCCTGGATAAGGAGACCACCTGTAGAGGAGACGGTTTCAAATAGGAGATATGTCGCAAACCGGAACAGACTCAATATTCACTTTCTCTCTTGGTATTTTGATTAGAAAACATTATGTCACAGTGAGACTACGATGTGTTTTACTCCGAGCCAAAATTTCATGGCTCTGCGATGACCAGAAGCACCGTACCAAGCAGGTGAGTTTTTGACGTGTTGCTTCACACTGCGACTTGAGTTCTACGTCTTTCGAAAAATCAACTTCTTGTCGCAGGTAAACGGTGAGTTTTTGACGTGTTGCTTCACACTGCGACTTGAGTTCTACGTCTTTCGAAAAATCAACTTCTTGTCGCAGGTAAACAGCGGCTCGCCCCTCGCCAATAAAGCACCTTATACCAATGAAAACTAATGGAAGCACACACGAGGCTTATTGTTACTCTGTACTGGCCGTCGTGGAGCGATAGCAATTACCTAACTCAGATTGAATTTGACGTGCACTCTAACAAGAAGTTGATTTTTCGAAAGACGTAAAACTCAAGTCGCAGTGTGAAGCAACACAAGGTTGCGTTTGCTTGGGCATTTTCACAGAATGTAAATGACAACCATTCTGGAATGGGAATGAGTAAGAATCACCTGACCAAACAAACACGCCAGAATCAACTAGGAATCACTTGACATAACAATTCCATGACGTCGTTGTGGAACAGCGGATCTCTTCTCTTTTACCCGACTCTAGTTTCCTTGAGAGAGTCAAGGTACCTCTGAGTGCATGATTTGAGGCACTTAAACCTGATGCTACATTGTTTGGCTCGTGGCAACCATTATCATTTTTGATTCCGGAATGAGAATGCTCATTCCAGCATGTGAGGTGGAACGATCATTCTCCAAAATAGAATCATTCTCAGCGATTCCCATTCTGGAATGGGACCAACCTAACGCACTTTTTTGACCAACCAAACGGGGCGAGAATGATTCTGAGTGATTCCAAGTGATTCCCATTGGGGAATGTGACCAACCAAACGTAACCTCAAACCTTTCCCGTTTGGAGCCACCTCTAATTTGAAGCGAAAAATTGGGCAACTTGGAGGCAATGGGCCAACGCAAAGGAGTGGCTCAGTTCGATCGACTCTGGCCTCAGAGCAAACTTCAACATGCCAGTTTCCTTCCACAAACATATTTCGAGTGACCAATCCACGCTGATGATCGATTTGGGTCTATACAAATTTGGCTGTCAAACCGTTCCGGTATCGAACCGTCCCCTCTACATGGTGACCACATTTTGAAGGTCCCTTGAGCAGTCGCCTTAAGCTGTGTTCACAACTGGAGCGTGTACGCGATACGCACGCGCTTCAGGCGTATGGATACGCGCGTAAAACCTTTCATAACATTCCGCATAGGGACAAGACGGCAAGAAGACAAGCGCCGCGTATGGCGGGTACGGAGTACACTCAAACGCCTCTTATCCGGGCGCCTCAGATACGGGTACGTCTCTCTACCGGGCACCTTCACCTTGAGGTCCTATGGCAAAAATGTGTTGAATTTGGGGGGTTTGCACTTTTTTCATACTGAAGTATGTGCAAGTGCTTCTTTGTCACTGCCGACCTGTGAAATCCACACATTTTTTATCAATAGATTCTTTCTCTAACCTGAACATGTACAATACGTGCCAAATACACTTCTTCAAAAATTGATGTGGTACATGGTAGATGGGTTTTCCTGAGATCCGGGCAAATCTGAGATACGGGCAGTACCCGGTCCCAAGGTGCCCGGATAAGAGACGTCCGAGTGTACTCATTTTTCGTGAGGTTAATACTTTTCTCGTACTTCTCCATTTTGGTATCGATCTTTCGATTCTAGGTTTCTGGTACTTCTCTTTTTGCCAAGCTTTTGGGGATGGGTTTCTGGCCCTTTCCCTTTTTTGTTCGACCTTCCCTCTTGAGGCTAGTGCTTTCATGGTACTTGTCCGTTTGGGATGTTTTTGGTAACATAAAAAGCCACCTCTAGGTCTCGCTTTCTAACTTTTCTTGCAGTCTCTTCCGGTTTTCGAGATCAGCAGTCAGTAGTGACAGCGTGCTCTGCTATTTGCTTGTAGGTTTGCAACTCTCTCCAGTTTTTCATATTTTCAGCAAGTGTGTATAGTTTCGTCTTCGGTAAAATGGTTTTCAACGTTGAACTGTTTGTGGAATCGATCCGTACTTACCAAGTTCTTTGGAATCCTGGCAGCGCGGACTATCATGACCGGAACACGGTGAGGGAATCAGTAGAATTACCATGCACACGTGAGCCATATATTAAAGGATAATTTTTATCTTCCTAGGTCCTTCATGCACCGTTTGTGCATACATTCTGTGTAAAATACTATTAGGCCATGGTAAAAAATAAAGTTGACTCTCAGGTCATGAGCCTGTGATAATCGGTGCGAGCGAGCGATTTTTTATTTTATTTCCCACAATTTTTTTATTTCCAAAGATAGGGTCACACATATGTACGTCACAGGTTCATACGATTATTTTATTATTCAGGCCAGGGACTAGAAGAATACCGGTATTTTACTACTCCCTGATTCATGCCTTTCGCATTGACCGTTTCATGGCGCGTATGCATGCATAGAAATAAAAAAATCGTCGGTGCGCCGCCAAAAATCGGTGCGCGCGTACTTGAGAATCAAAGATAATTTTTACCATGGCCTTAATATCAAATTTTTAATAGGGCATTAAAAATTTGATATTACACACATTGACAATAAAATCATCTTGGCATTTTTTTTAATGATTGATATCAATTTAAGATAGGCAGACGTGGACAGATGTAGATGTTGTTTTATACCATTACGGAGGGGCTTTAAATTCCTGTGAAAGAAAAAAAAAGATGTACAGCATGATTAGTAGAGCGACCGTCTACTGTAAGTATACAAAATTTCGGCACTTCACGATTTGTGACATTTCGGCAGCGATTTATTTTCGGCGTGGGGTAGAGGGCATGCATGGTATAGTGCGACAGATGCTGTGAAAAATTTCATCGGCGTTTTAATTTAGGCGTTTTGGGTGGGTGCCGAATATAGCCGAAATTAAAAAGCTGCCGAAAATTTGTATATTTACAGTATACTAAAGCTGTGTCATGCCCTGGCATTAGTTTTTCTGTTGTTAGGTTTCGTTAGTATCGGTATTTGATGTGCACCTGGCTTATCGATAGCCGCTCTGGTCTTCATGACTTTGCATGGTGAACATTAAAGGTGGTAGGGTTGGATGAAATAGAAGAGGACGTTAGTGATATCATCAGTAGTATGTATTCATTCTCGGGCTTTAAAAGTAGTGTATGTTGAAAATAAAATAGCTTATGCTAGTTTAGAAGAGAAAAGGACATATGGATACGAGTTTAGAGTAACTCTCCATCACTGTAACATGATACTATATACAGTCAGAAAGTGCAATAACTAGGCACAAAACTGACAGAGTACTGAGACATTCGACGTCCAGACACATATGCTAGTTTGCTGTTCATTTTTCTCTCTCTCTTGCGTTTGTTCTCCATGATCACCAGACTGCAAATGCGTGGGCAGCAGTTGCCACAGATCATGCTTCAACGACCGATGCCGTCAAGAAGTATTGGAAGTCTCTCCGAGATACATACGTAAGGGAGAAGAAGAAGGAGGAAGCAAGCATGCGTAGTGGTGCCGGCACAGCGGAGGCGTTTAAGTCCACGTGGCAACACATGTCGTTATTCTCCTTTCTGAAGCAAACTCTTGCTAGAAGGTCATGATCACCAGACTGCAAATGTGTGGGCAGCAGTTGCCACAGATCATGCTTCAACGACCGATGCCGTCAAGAAGTATTGGAAGTCTCTCCGAGATAAATACGTAAGGGAGAAGAAGGAGGAGGAAGCAAGCATGCGTAGTGGTGCCGGCACAGCGGAGGCGTTTAAGTCCACGTGGCAACACATGTCGTTATTCTCCTTTCTGAAGCAAACTCTTGCCAGAAGGTCATGATCACCAGACTGCAAATGCGTGGGCAGCAGTTGCCACAGATCATGCTTCAACGACCGATGCCGTCAAGAAGTATTGGAAGTCTCTCCGAGATAAATACGTAAGGGAGAAGAAGAAGGAGGAAGCAAGCATGCGTAGTGGTCCCAGCACAGCGGAGGCGTTCAAGTCCACGTGGCAACACATGTCGTTATTCTCCTTTCTGAAGCAAACTCTTGCTAGAAGGTCAGCTGACAGCAATTTCCAATTGACCCAGGACTCCGAGAATGTGAGTGAACTGAATAATTTTTGAAGTCCACGTGGCAACACATGTCGTTATTCTCCTTTCTGAAGCAAACTCTTGCTAGAAGGTCAGCTGACAGCAATTTCCAATTGACCCAGGACCCCGAGAATGTGAGTGAACTGAACAATTTTTGAAAAAGCCCGTGTACATGTTGGTATTACCAATTTTTGTATTCGTGTCTGTTTTCGTGTTCATGTCTTCCTCGCTCACTTTCTTTTATATCCTCTTTTTCTGGTTTTGTCCATGCTTTGTTGTATTTAGAGTGAATTGGTGCCTGGGGCCAATGATGATATGATCAACTCGGATGATGGCACTTCAAGCGATTCAGGCAGTGACGGTGATGGTGACGCTGCAGAACCTGTACGGGATGATTCGGACCCTTCTGATGATTCTGATGTCGTGCCAGTGCGCGTAGTGCCACTCATTGCAGCAGCCACGCACCGAACGACTGCGACCAACAGTATCAAGTGGGAGCCCATCCCACCCTCCTCCATTGGGAAGCCCAAGAGGCAACGAATGCAGGCTGGGCCAACTCCTCTGCAGAATGAACTGGATGTTCATCTTCTGGAGACGATAAAATCCATCCAGACCAGCAAGAAGCCAAACCCGGCACCTTCTGTATCAGTTGACCCTTTTGGTGAAAGAGGTAAACCAGACACTGGCACGCCTTTCACCAAGGGTGAGGAGCAAGGCCAAACGAGACATCATGGCCTTATTGGACAACGTTGAAGTCCCAGATGACAGTGACTAGTGTATTTGCTTTGTTCTTGATTTTGATTTTGGGATCTCATTTTCTTGACACTGATTTTCACTCCTGATAATTCATTGGAATAATACAAGTGTGCGGCAACAATGACCATTAATACGTCCCTGATAAACGGGGATACCTTTGCCAATAGAATATTGAACGATGCCACGGACATTCTTGTGTATCGGCGGAACGTCGTTTCGTATGCTTTTATCTTTCTGAAGAGGGTTGAGTACTCCCCAACATCTTCGCCATCCGATCGCTGGAAGATTGGGTGAACCCAGACTGACCGGAATGAAAGCAGCTGCTCATACCTTCTCCGTCTCCTCAGGAATACCCGAATCACGATCAGGAACGACAAAATATCCTCTACCTCCATGGTGAAACAAAATGAGAAAGTGAAATGAAGGCGATATCACGCATACCGGTACTGTATTTCCTCGATTAATAGACCCGGTCTTTTGTTTTTTGAAGAGGGTTGGACCCCCGGTCTCTTATTTGGGCATGGTCCATTATTTGAGCACGATCCACTATATTTTCATCGGCACATAGCTGGAAATGGTGGACTTTAACACGTCATAATATAGAAGTTCTATATTATGACGTGTTAAAAATCCACCATTTCCAGCTATGTGCCGATGACAATACTGTAAAAGCCATATAACGAAGTGCTAACTCTAACGAGTTAACGAGTAGAAATCTGTCGTTAAAATAGAAATCGCTACAATCATAATTATACTGTGAAGAGTTCATAACCCCCAAGAGTGTGCAACGGGCATAGACCCAGCGCTCGGCGAAATTCCTACATTACGTCATGCGCAGCTTGTCATCCGAGGTAAATTTGGGTTCTTTGCGATTTCTGGAAACTATACCCTGAACCGCTCCTAACTCAAGGCTGTAGTCTCGACTTTTCGAAGCTTCTTCAGTTTTTGAAGACCTTTCGGACGTACAAGTCGTACTTTCTCGAAAACAAACTCTTTCTCCAAGAATCCACGGACATAGCGACAGGAAGAAGTGAGGACGCTGTTAAAAATATTACACTGCCGTCGAGGACAATCATTCTGATAGCTGTGCAACTCAGCCGAAAAAAGCTCCTTCGATGTATTCTCTCAAGTTCCTCAACCATTTGAAATCATCTTCGAGGAAAGCACCGGAAATATGCCGATGGCCTGAGGAAGAAATTGTTCTTGAAGAGACTGACTGCACTGTACTGGTGAAAGAAGAAGGCGATGAAGAGTCACCATTGCATCGAAAATATAAATAGTTTGTCTTTAGGATCGTGTGCTTTGTTTTACTTTTGCTTCTTGAGGCTCAGACTCAGACTAGAATCGTAGTTTAGGCAGTTTACCCTGGGGAAGCATCCTGGTTTGACTGTAAATTTTAGAAGAATTCATCGGCGTGACTCATCGCACTGCACTAGAAATGCCGCAATGAAGGAATTCCGCCGAGCGGGCTTCCATACAGGGACTGATCAGGAGTTGCACACTCTTGGGGGTTATGAGCTCTTGATACTGTCCTATTGAGCGTTGAGAATGAGTGAGAATCGTTACCTTTGGTAAACGTAAACTAGTCAAGTTTGGAAAATCGTTATTATATGTGCCTCGTTAGAATAATGGCTTTTACAGTATAGGCTAAAATCGCGTCCCTTTTTTGATCCACCACGTGCTTTCTTAGTGCGCATGCGCAAAGCGATGAACTCACATACGCGCGCTTTTGTACGCTGTACGCCCCCCCCAAAAAAAAAAAAAATTATCGCGTCCGTTCCCGAAGGGAACTCACGACGGCCACTAACACCCGATAAACCCTAGCGGCAGATGCAGCGCCTAACGGTGGGGGTGAGTGCCCCAAAAGCCAGCAAAAATACGCATGGTTTCACGCGTACACGCGCCAGTTGTGAACACAGCTTTAGACAGGTTTCACTGTAGCAATACATGCACTTTGGTGACACACTTGATAGAAGGAATCAAAAGCGTTTCGGCTTAACCGATCATCAGACAGCAACTTGCACATTGAGTGTGAGTATACTTTGGTGACGTGTTACTGAAGTCCACGTGGCTATTTCGGTGAACTACAATGGCAAGCAAGGTCACAGAGATAGCGACTGATACGTACGTTTAGATCTAACTCCCATTGGCCTCGTTTTCCAATCTGCGTTGGAGAAACACAGTGAGAGAGAGAGAGAGAGAGAGAGAGAGAGAGAGAGAGAGAGAGAGAGAGAGAGAGAGAGAGAGAGAGAAAGAGAGAGAAAGAGAGAGAAAGAGAGAGAGCGAGAGAGAGAGAGAGAGAGAGAGAGAGAGAGAGAGAGAGAGAGAGAGAGAGAGAGAGAGAGAGAGAGAGAGAGAGAGAGAGAGAGAGAGAGAGAGAGAGAGAGAGAGCATTAAGTAGGCCACACACAAAAAAGCAGATACACAGCTGGAGCAAATTGTCCAGCATATGCGCTGAGTGCAACAGAGTAAACACCGGCACATAACATAGCTGTGGGCTCGGCATAGAAAATAGCTAGGGTACTTACTTACTCCTAACAACCCAGCATATACTCCCAGCTGAAGTCCCAAGGGTGCGAATTTGGAGAGATATTTACGACGATTGCAGTATTAAGAGCGTGGCGGTGAAGAAGGAGATTGAGACATGATTCATTGGCTGCAGTGGAGCCTCCGCATATTGAAGAAGGTGACAACCCAGCCTCTAAGTTCTAACACGCGGGTTTTTTCTGCGTACCTGTCGTGCCCCTCACGAGTGACTAATGCAAGTTCACTGCAGATATTACACACTGTGGCCACCACGCCAGTTGATCACTGACGCCCACACCGACCGTACTTAGAGGCCTACTTTCACATAAACGTCACATTGCATTTCTTGCGCATTGCTGCTGTTAGCGTTAGGTCTTCGCCAGCTCCCGTGCCGCACGTGGAGCCCTAGTACCGTAAAAGCCCGTGTATAGGCCCCGGGCGTATAGAATAGCAGCCTCGATTTCCTGGGCGTATACAAGGGCACGGGCGTTATTTTGGAACCGGGCGTTATTTTGGAACCGGGCGTGTACTTGGAATATGGATAGCAGTAAGTATTGGGTATCAGCACCTGTACATGTACTGGTGTTGCCGGCATATCTGGGCGTATACATGGGCAGGCGCTATTTTGAAACAAAAGTGTTGACTTCCCCTGACTGGGCGTGTACACGGAGGGTGGGCGTAATTTCGAGTGGGCGTATACAGGGGCTTTTAGGGTATCACATAAACGTCACATTGCATTTCTCGCACATTCTTGAACATTGCTGCTGTAGTGTGATGTACATGTGCTGTAAAACATGTTATTTTCGGTGAAGCTTTAATTTCGGTGATTTCGGTAGAGAAACCAGGCACCTAAATTCGGATTACACCTAAAAAGCACTAGACTATGCACTGTCTGTGAAGGGTAGGCTGGTCACCTAATTCTAAATTACACCTGAAACCTGGCAGGTCCCTGGCACCGAAAAATGTTAATGCACCTAAAATCACATGTTTTACTGTAGTTCTTGGCCAGTGCCAGTATCGTACTTAGAGCGTTAAGTTCCCCATGGGTTTCACATGTCAATTATTGCACACCGCTGCCGCTTGTTTTTCACCAGTGCCCGTACTGGACTCTGCGCCTTAGTTTTCACATAAGTGTCACAGTCATTGCACTCTGGTGCCACCGCTAGTCCTGGCTGGAACACGCGCATGTACCATACCGTGAATCCTACTTACGCACTGCTTTCAAACCCACCATGGCTGTGTGCACATGTACTCCTACATGCGTGTGCGCGCGCGTGTGTGGAAGTGCATGCAGAAGAATGGGTTCGCAAGCGTGTGTGCGCGTGTGTGCGTGCACTCGCACATATGTGCGTGTGTATGTACCGTATTTTACCGGTTGTAAGTCGACCCCCGTATCTGGAGGTCTCAATTCTGCGTTTTAAAGTTTTCACCCAAAGAAGCACTACTACAGTCCATTTCAAAACTATAGACGCGTACCTTGGCAAAAACCGTTATGCCAGCATCTATACCACATAAAATCTGTGATCACTTTGTGCATAATTTTTTCCAAATTGGGCGTCTGTTATCCAATCCTTTAGAAACTATATGAGAGTAATTGTGGAGCGATCCTGAGCAATATTTCGAAAACTATTCTCAAAAAGTTCCAGCCAAATTTGAAATATTTCAAAAACCCTACGCGTCTATAGTTTTGAAATGCACTGTAGCCACCTCCTGCTACTAACACATCAACAAAATAATCATGTAAACATTCCTTACTGGAGGGTGTAACGTCCCAATCCTTGTATTTATTGAAAAAGGCCAATAAACTGGCAAACATGTGTAAACATGGTGCACTCGTGCATGCAGTGCAGGTCATTTTTGTAAGATACTGATAGTTCCCGGTTATAAGTCGAATCCCGGTTGTAAGTCGACCCCACCCTTTCTCCTTCCATTTTAAGTCGTAAAAGGTCGACTTACAACCGGAAAAATACGGTATGTCTTGGGATAAATTGAGAATTTCTTACTCGGCTCTTACAGACCAGGTTTTCAACAGGGCTGGCAGGGGACACGAAATTCTCTATTTCATGCTTCTATCTTTGTTTATCGATCGGTATGGTAGATGAAGTTTGACCAGATCAATTATTTTACTTTCAGAAAAAATTATGAATATAAATTTTCAACTCTCTCAAACTTGTGAATACTAGGAAACATTTTCTTCAGATATTGTAGGCCAGTTAGGCCCACGATTCACCGAGCACGAATTCAGTTTACAACAGAATAACGAGCAGAGGTGGATTCACTTACCCACATTCCCTCCCCAGGCCTCGGGGCCCTGTTTGGATGTCGAAAATCCTTTGCGCATCTTTCCACCAGTCTTCACAAGCCTGAACGGAATTCTATTGCCGGGCGCCATCCTGTAGACGCCCTCTCCCTCACACCGTAACCAGTATGTGTCCTCGGCAGCAGCAGGTTTTCGGAACGCAAATGACAGCGAACAAAATACAATTGTGTCTATGAGATCTCTGTCTGTGCATGTGAGCTGTGCTCTGCTCAAACTCAAAGATGAAGAAAAAACAATTGAAATCTGGATGAGTCAATCGGGCACGTGCCAAGCTAGATACGCATAATTCACGTAATGGCATGCATTATGACGTCTGCATGCTGCATGATAATCAATTTTTTGATATTTTTATGACTTTTGTTTGCACACGAATCGCAGCAAAACAAAACTGTTCAGTGCAGTGTTGGTCGACCTGCGATATTCGACTGGAAAAGACGAGCTCTGACAGCTGAACATCAGCTCTCAGACTGTAGGGATATCTAGGAGCAGAGAACCGGTTTCACCTCAGTGTTGGCAATGGCGTCATGTTCCAATGCAGCGACTGCCAGTGGCAGCAGCACGACGGTTGCGAAAAAAGCGTCTAGCCAAGAAAAGGTGAGAGAGCTCGCATGCAGCGATTATGAAGTAGATTATAATTATTTGATGGGAATGGGAGAATTTCAAATGTTTCGATGTAAACGGTCAGGGAAGTGAACTGCCAAAAAAGCAAAAAATGTGAACCTCACCGGAGGAGATTGTATGCATAGGTTACACTTCACAGTAGAGAGGTTCCGGGGTACGACTTTCCGTGCCAAAATCCGTATGGGCGCTACGGATTTTTCAAGGGCGTGCTCCATACGATTTTTCGGCACGAGAATCCGTGTGGATTGGCTTTCATACGAACCATGTTTTGTATGGAGATTTTGTGTCATCGAGTGCCGAAAGATTTTTCGCGTACAAATTTGGCACGAGAAACATCGATTTTCCGCGGGAAGTTTTGATTTCGGTACAAATTTTTAAAATATAAAGGCACAGCGCGGGAATATGACGTGTTTGCGATCGTAACCTAGGCAATGACGGCAAACACATAAGTTCCGTACTCCAGAACATTTCACTGCTCGAAAACTACGTGTAAAAAATCCGCAGCGCCTCTACGGATTTTGACACGAAAAATCATACTCCGGAACCTCTCTATTCACTCGCAGTGACGTGATGCGTTTCTCATACGCAAAACGAAGTATGAATGTAATTGGCTGCTGCATTGGAGTAAATTGACAGTTTAGTAAAAAAGCTACACCATCTGTCCCAGACAAATGATCCCGGCAAATCCCTCGACGTTGACACTGTGTGTTCAAGGCGACAATGACAACGTGGTCGAAAGAGTGTTGCGCAAGTGTAGCAGTGGTCGTCGGTAACAAGTGATTTGTCCGAATTCACCGGCGCATTTCCACGATTAGAAGTCAGCGCACTCGTTTATAAGTCGTTGCACCCTCACATTCAGGTTTGAACCATATTGTTTCAACATAGTCACATAGGTAAGATGTCACACTTGATTGTAAGTTGTACCTTCCCCCCCCCCCCCCCCACACACACACTTCTTTGTCCTTGCAGTTTCAGTGTAACTAAGGGGTCGTCGCAAAAGTTTTCTGTTGTCCCTGAAACGAACATCGTTCATTTCGTACTCGGACCCCCTCCCCTCCCTCTGAAACGAACACAGCTTGCTACGCTGGACGACGAAAATCGCATGCATGTACATATCATATGTACAGTGTCGGTCTACTTGCGATTTTGGCTCGCACCCCCCCCCCCCCCCCAAATGAATCATGTTCGTTTCAGGGACGACAAAAAACTTTTGCGACGACCCCTAAGAAAATCAATGTAACTCGTTGAAACGTTAGATTTACTTCCTCGTTGTATTTAGTGCTGAAACGAGTACTCATTTTTTTAATTTTTTTTACAAAAAAACCCACACACCATTTGACGGCACAAATCAGCAAGGCAGCGATGAGACATATGGAATGGCAGGAGTGGGGGAAAGGCAGGGGCAGCTTGACCCGGGTCTCGGCTTCATTGCAACCCAAGCGCTCCACAAAAACAAAAGATTACAGAAAATACGCAGGGGGGGGGGGGGGGGTAGATACCTGGGGATTACGGGGGAAAGTATGCACAATAAAAAGTTATCAGAGAGTCAACGAAGTGAATGGAGACTCTATCAGCTATCGAGCGAGTACTGTCACTGTCGAGTCCAGTATCGAGTACTCTATATGCACACATGCACATATAATGTCAGTACCACATACCCAATTTTTTGCACACCATTTACGCAATTCAATATCCTTCTATAAACACACATTTTCATTGCAAAGCCACCTGGATATAGCTATATTTTATAACCGGAACAGAATATGTAACAGAGACATGTTTAGATGCCGACAGCTGATACTTAATAGCAACAATCAATTGCACATTCTATTCATGATTCCAGCATGCCGTCCAAAGTATCATGAATTATTCATGACTGCAAGTTGGGTAGAGGTGGCATATCATCTTCATCGTCAGCTGTAGGGGCTAGCACCATGGCAGGTAATGCTCGTGCAATGCCTTCCTTCCTGATCCTCAGTAGGTGTGCATTGCAATGGAGGAAGGTCAGTGCATCGATGATAGTGCTCGACAACGAACAATGCGCTTGTCCACCAGATAGCCGGCAAATGAAAAGACCCGCTCTGATGGTACGCTGGTTGCCGAAATACGCAGGTAGCGCTTGGCCTGTGCAGCAAGCCGTGGAATAGGGCTGGCGTTAGCCTTCCACCACACGAACGGATCCACAGCTCGGCGGACGACCTTCTCGCTGAGGTACAATTCAACCTCTGCCTGGATCGACTCATCATTTTCATTCTCACCTCCCAGGAGATCATCGAGAACTGACACTGCTGAGCGGGCGTCCGGACAATGGCGTTTTGCTGAAGGAGAGGATACCTGGCACGCGTCGTCGGACCGACAATCAACAGCAGCTGCACTGATCAGGGCATCGTTTACGCCAGCTCTGCATGCATTGGTCATGCACTTCAAGTCGCGAAAGCGGGGATCAAGCGCTGTGGCCATGGCATAGATACTGGTTGAATGTGTTGAGTCCAGTGCAAACCGGCGGTTGACATTGTTACCGAGTCGACTTTTGGCGGTTGTGACAAGCAGTGGCTCGTCGTCATCAGAGTTGAGGTCGTCACAGAAAGTGCAGAGGGAGGAGAGAAGAGGAAGATGCCACGACAGCGTTGAGTATTTCTCCCCACCCAGCTGCTTGGTGACTTCATCGACGCAGCTCAATGCCGCCAGGAGCAACTTGGCGGTTGTCCATTCAGTGACAGTCAAATCCAGGTTCTGGCGAGCCTTGTCCGGCATGTCGGCAAGGACAAGCCGTATCGGTGTTCTCCGCTCCACCAGTCGCGCAAGCATCAGGTATGCGGAGTTCCACCTTGTGGGGCAATCCTGGATGACATGCTTCACTGATGACGCTTTTCAGTAGACGAATACAGTACTCAATAGTGTACGAAAACTTGTTGGTGAGTAGACACTACGCGTTCGTGTACCGGATCCGCGGACGTGTACGTCGCTATCAAGTATTTTTTTATCGAGTCCTTTTTTGATATCGAGTCGAGTACTCAACGAGCGGGTACTCGAGTGCTCGGCGTACTCGTTTCAGCACTAGTTATATTTACATGTCTTGCATTATATAGATCGACTCTCTGTGTGTGTGTGTGTGTGTGTGTGTGTGTGTGTGTGTGTGCGCGTGTGTGTGTGTGTGTGTGTGTGTGTGTGTGTGCGTGTGCTTTGCTCTCCTAGCCGGCTGCGGCTGTGACCCTGAAGCTGAGAAAGCCGAAGGAGAAACGTGGCATCCAGTGGGACGAGACAGCGGTGGACAACGAACACATGGGGAAGAAAAGTTCAAAATGTAAGCAAGTGCTGTGTGCCTTTCATATACAGTGAAACCTGGTTTAATTAAGCGACCACCCGACGGTGCAAGCAAAAGCGGTCGTTAAAGCCAGGTGGTCTTTAGAACCGGGTCCCTCAGTGTCTGTGTAGAACTGTCGGTGCATGGAAAAACGGTGGTTAAGAGCAGGTGATCGCTAAACCCAGAGGTCGCTTACACCTGGTGATACTCTACAGTGAAACCTGTCTAAGACGACCGCACAAGGTACCTTCAAAAGTGTAGTCTCTATTACCAGGCAGTCTCCAAGTTAGGGGCCGTCCGTAAATATCGAACTTTTTTCACCAAACAAATTATTTTAGTTTAGACCCGACCCCTCCCTCCCCCTCAGAACGTAAAACATGTTGACATACATGCATATACAACGGCCGTGTACATGAATCAATGTTTTCTGAAACGAAATTGGTCAACCCCCTCCAACCCCATAACGAAATTATTTCGTTTTGTGAAAAAAGTTCGATATTTATGGACGACCCCTTATCCAGGGTCATTTGACTGAACATAGCATCCCTCGGTCCTTGTTGCAGTGGTCTTCTGGGACAGGTGGTGGCCTTATCCAGGGTCATTTGACTGAACATAGCATCCCTCGGTCCTTGTTGCAGTGGTCTTCTGGGACAGGTAGTCTCCTTATCCAGGGTCATTTGACTGAACATAGCATCCCTCGGTCCTTGTTGCAGTGGTCTTCTAGGACAGGTGGTCTCCTTATCCAGGTGGTCTCCTTATCCAGGTGGTCTCCTTATCCAGGTGGTCTCCTTATCCAGGTGGTCTCCTTATCCAGGTGGTCTCCTTATCCAGGTGGTCTCCTTATCCAGGTGGTCTCCTTATCCAGGTGGTCTCCTTATCCAGGTGGTCTCCTTATCCAGGTGGTCTCCTTGACAGGTTTTACTGTACTGTCTGTGACTTTCAAGCCATGGCCTTATATTCGAAACCCCGCTGCTTTCCTAGCTATTTTAGGGGCAAAATGACTCACCCACTAGCAGTACTACTATACCATGCCATGATGAAGCTATGATGAAAGCCAAAGTTCACACATTCTTTCAATCTGCTCAATCTGTGAACAGAACTGTTTCGTCCTTTGTGGACTCATCAGCGAAGCACAGAGAAAATGAGGCCGAACCTGATAGCAATGAAAATACATTTCCAAAGCCGGATTTAAACCATCCACAAACGTACCTTGCCCGAGTGCTCAAACTGACAAGTCAGTGAGCTCTGCGTTCTTTCGATCTAAATGCACTTTTTTACCCTTTCTGCTAGGCTGGAAGTCTGTCAAGTACTTATTCCTTCATTTTTTTAATTGGTTTGAGGGAAAGGTGCAAGTGGGAAAAGTCTGAAGAGAAAATTGACTGTCACCACCAGGACTCGAACCAGGGACCCTCGCTTGTAGCCAGCGATGCTCTAACCACTGAGCTATGGTGTAGTCGTCATCCCAGCAGAGACCGTTCAACATTTTCTTCAGACTTCATAACCCACACTTCCTGTGAGTCCACACAGGCGGGTGGGACGCAGCCCTCACTGTAACCCACACACTTCACGTACAAACTAGCACGCGGGGAGTCCCAAGTCATAACATATTGACTGGTTTGAGGGAAAGACGCAAACGGGAAAAGTCTGAAGAGAAAATTGACTGTCACCATCGGGACTCGAACCAGGGACCCTCCCTCGCTTGAGGCCAGTATTTTTACGAAACATACTTCAAATTTTATCTCATCCTGTGTCTGTGTGTATGTGTGTGTCCATGTGTGTGTGTGTCCGTATGTGTGTATCCATGTATGTACGTGCCCGTGTGTTGTCTCTTGCTGTCAGGTTGCTGTGTGTACACCAAGCCGCGTGCGTTTGGCGAGTCCAGCAGCGACGACAGCGACTGCGACGGTGAAGAGCGCCACAGACGCAAGTTCCACTCCAAGGAGGAGTCCAAGCCCAAGAAGACACCGTGCTGCGACGACAGCCATTAGTCCTCCTGCTCCGTCGCCTTGCCTCGTCCTCGTGTTGCGGTTCCTCTTCCGTTGTATTCGTCCTCTGCTCGGATTGTCTGTGCCTTCACTAGGAGGTCCTTGAGTTTGCCATCTGGGGAGTATGTCGCACACAGGATGTACTGTTAGCACGGGGGATACTCTTACTCCATTATATGTACACGCGTGTAGACTCGTACAGGCTACGCGTGCTCGGATTGTCTGTGCCTTCTCTAGGAAGTCCTTGAGTTTGCCACCTGGGGAGTATTACGCACACAGTATGTAGATCTACACGCACTGCCAGCACCGCGGGTATATAACTCTCTCGCTCCGTTATACGTACACACGCGCGCGCGCGCGTAGACCCATGCAGACGACACACGTGAAGGCCGTTGAGTTTGCCACCGAGCGAGCATTTCGCACACAAGATGTCCATGCACTGTCCGGGCCGTGGATATAACTCTCGCTTCGTGATAATTATGTACATGTGTCTGGACTCGTGCAGACTACAGATGCGTCATGTTGCTGGTCGACGGTTCATACAGTATAATTCATAGTGTCCCTTGCCATCATTGTTGCCGTGTTTTCAGATCTATGTGTGTGCTGCTGACGTGTTACGGTAGTCCGTTTGCCCAGGTCCGTGACTTGCAGAGAAGATAAACATGATATACTCTTGCCATGACAAAGACCAAGACCAGTGTGTCTGTCTCGTCGCTCAGTCTCCGTTTAGTTAGTTATTCATGTGGAATGTTGCTCAGGTCCGTGACTTGCAGAGAAGGTAACATGATGGACTGTTGCTATGACCAAGGCCAGTGTGTCTGTGTCGTCGCTTAGTCTCCGTTTAGTTCGTTATTCATGTGGAATGTTGCTCGGGTCCGTGACTTGCAGAGAAGGTAACATGATGTTCTGTTGACGTGACCATATCCACAAGGCCAGAGTGTCTATGGCGTCGCTCAATCTCCGTTTAGTTAGTTTGTCATGAGAACTGCTGCCTTGTCCGTGACTGCGTGAAGCCTGTTTGCCGCTTGCTTGCATTGAGCAACAACAGTGTGCGTGTGTGTCGGAGAGCAACTGACGTATGGCTGAGTCACGGAGTGTGCTCTTTTCGTCGCCATACTATATGCCTCTGCTGCTTGCTACCTGAACCTGCTCTCAGTCGGCGTGTCATCGCGTGTCCAGCCCCTCGCGTGCTCTCAACGGTGTGCTTCGTCATCGTGTGTGTGTGTGTGTGTGTGCATTAGCTCGGCGGCCGGCAGCGTGGACTGCTTGCGTGCTCACGGGATTGGAACGTTTGTTGTAGCGTGCGTCGTTGTGAGACGAGACAGGGGAGTAGTAAATTACCTACTCATCTCTGGTGAGACCAGTGGCAGTAGTCGTAGTAGTATGCTGCGATATCACAGTGCTACCTGGTGCCTAGTCCTGTGCTTGACGGTCACTCCCCTGGCTCTTGGTTGTGTGAAACGGTGTTCAGCCGTGTTACAACCAGGCTGCACAAGCCTGTGGACCAGGGAGTCGGTATTTTTCGACTCCCTGCTGTGGACTGCTGATCGTGACTGTGACTATGTGAGCATTGTGGTGCCATGCTTGAATTTTTTTGGTGTGTGTGGTGGACAGTTGCAGTGCCGGAAGCATCTGGTGCCTGTACCGCCGAGCCCTCGTGTCGTGCGTGCGTGCGTGTGTGCGCGGTGACCGTTCCGGGAGATGGCCTCTTCTGTTCTGGCATCGTAAGGTGGCTGCTGCACTGCAATTGGGGTGATACTGTTGGATTGCTTTTGTGTGTCACAACACATTTAAACCATAGACTGTACATAATGCCATTAATGGACGTGCATCAGTGTAATTATTTTCTTTTCGGCTGCAATAATTAGTACTAATTACTTGTATTTTTCACTACTTCATATTATTGGGCTTCGTTTTCAGATCTGCAACTTGAGTGTTGCACTATGATCGCCATCATTATTCGAACTTGAGTTTAGGCCGCTGAGAAACATCTACTAGTATTAGTTATTGCTGTCTCGCTGTTTCTTTGTCGACTCTAAACCCTCTTTACGGGCGAAACTGATTACAATTTACCGTTGTGAAGGAGTCGAAGCACAAAATAGAGTTTGTGAGAAATGAGAGGCAGCAGGGATAACATAGCATGGAGTAATCCCTGCTTGTTATAATGTATATTCCAAGTACATCTGAAACATTCAGGATCTCAGTGGTAATACTTTCGGGCTAATGGCAAAATGCATGTATATGGAGTTCCGCGGTGCATATCCCTTCCGTGGCTAGAGTGTGCAAAGTACAGGGCAGCTCAAGGTAGAGGCCCGTGGCCTAGATGGGTGCTAACACCCATGCGATTCAAATGGTTGCAACCGTGGATGGTTGTAGAAAGGCCACTGTTTTCGAACACAATGGTCCTCCGTGCCTTGTAACATGCTGTCAACCAACGACATGCAGGTGGGTGCATGCATGTAACAGACATGCGTTTGTGCGCAAGGCATGCAGTGAATTCACTAGATCACAGGTCCATGGCTGCAAGTCTACTGGCTCAAAAGGAATCTCGGAAAAATGACTCAACTGGCTGTTGACACCCCTTGAATTCCCCTAACTCTGGGTTGACTTTGGAATGATCCCACTTATGGGCTCACTACACCGCAGCAAGCCGCGCGAGGACAAGGTGCAGAAAACACTCACCTACACGTAACACACACACATGCGACACACTCGGCCACTTCACCAATGGCCAGTCACGGCGTATTTCTTTCCAAGTTTCAAGTCAATAAATAGATAGTGTCAACGTCAGAGCGAGCCTGTGACGAACACCAGAGACGACGCACAGCAAGAGAAAATCAACCAACCAGACAAGGAGTCTATGTGCAAGGGCCGGAGTTCAATGCCGAGAAAATAATCATGATCAACAAACCGAGGAGGCGTATTGGGAATGCATCGCACTCCAGAATATTCTAAAATAACTACAGTAGCAGTAGCAGTAGGCGCCGCTGCTGCCAATGATGTATGTACAGTTGAAGATGAAAACAATACTAGTATCCGCTGGAGTCCACAATTGTCAATTCCGAGCATGCACGTACACGTACGCACAGAGGTGGTTTCTCACGCCTTTTTCGACTTTGACTTTTTGGACTTTTTCTTGGCGGGAGCTGCTACTTCAGTTTCCCCATCGCTTTCGTTCGGCCGATGTGACTTTTTGGACTTCTTCTTGGCTGGAACAGCAACCTCACTTTCCCCATCGCTTTCGCTAGGCCGATTTGACTTTTTGGACTTTTTCTTGGCCGGAACAGCTACCGCACTTTCACCATCGCTTTCGCTCGGCCGATCTGCAGTGCCTGACTTGGTTTTCTTCGCCTTCTTGCTCTTCTTCTTCTTCTTCTTTTTGGGCTTCGGCGCGTCGTCTTCGTCGTCAGAGCTCTCATTGCCGCTGGCCTGTTTACTGCTTGTGGCGGTGCTGGTGACATCCGTGCTGTTGTCGTCGTCCGATGGCGATAGCGTGTCCGCGTGCTTGCGCTTTTTCTTACGCGGTCGTATGCTCTCGGTGTCGGCCGCTGCGTGTGCGTCGGATCGAGCAGAAGCACTGTCGGCAACGCTGCTGCTGCCGGTCGATCGTGACAAGGTGGCGGCGATGCTGCCAGCCGGGAGCTGACGTTGCCGCAGCTTGGCCATCTTGGCGGCGAAATAGTCCTGCACTGACTGGCCACTGGTCGTGGTGTGAATGCCGCTGGCGTCCTCGGCCTTGTCATGACGTTGCCGTCGGTGACTGCTGCTGCCCTTCTTTTCGCCATCGCTCTCGCTGGACGATGAAGCGTCTGAATTGCTGGTGCTGCTGGAGTCGGAGTCGCTACCCGATGGTGATCCGCCCTACACAGAAACATTAACAACACATGTGCAGAGCGAGGGTCAGGCTGAGCAACACTGGCATCGGTGTGTGCGTGTGTGTGAGAAATGGAGAGATTGAGTGAGCGAGAGATAGATAGATAGAGAGAGAGAGACACACACACACACACACACACACACACACACACACACACACACACACACACACACACATACACACACAGAGTGAGAGAGAGAGTGAGTGAGAGGGGGTGGGGGAAGAGAGAGAGAAAGAGAGAGATGGAGAGAGCGAGGGAAAGAGAGTTAGTAGACAGAGACAAAGACAGACAACAGAGTCATCCCCTGACTCACCCTGGATGAGCTGGCCTCCGAGGCGGTTGCCCGAACGCCAAGGATACAACTCATGTCATTGTTTGAGTAACCACTGATGTCCTTGCCTCGGAGAAACTTGTTGTAGCTGCAGACAAACAGCACAAGGAAAAGAGAAACACAACGTGATCAAGAGGCGACAAGGGGAGAACTAACCACAACATAATATCATTAGTCTGCTTGGTGGTAGAGCATCGCTGGCCAAAGTGAGCGTTCCTGGTTGGAGTCAGGGTGGCGGCGGCCAGCCAATGTTTCTTCAGACCTTGCCCGAGAGGAGCTCCGAAATCGCGGGTTAACGAGGAGAAATCTGTCGTTAAAATAGAAATCGTTATACAGAAATCTATACAATATACTGTTCTATTGAGCGTTGAGAATGAGTGAGAATCGTTACCTTTGGTACACATTAACCAGTCAATTTTGGGAAATCGTTATACATGTGCCTCGTTAGAATAATGGCTTTTACAGTACAGCACATGGTCAAATCAGGAATCAGTCGCATCAGCAGCAGAAAATGTGCCGGTAAGGACACGATCTGGCGAAGCTGGCAAAATGAAAAGGACTGCTGGTGTCTAAGACTGCGGTGCGCACTTTTGACATTTTGGTACTCACTTGATTCTCGCCCTTGATTTGTGTGCCTTAGCCTGCAGGCCAGCCGACGGTGAACTTCTACCGGACTGGTCTGTACGTACGTACACACACACACACACACACACACACACACACACACACACACACACACACACACACACACACACACACACACACACACATTTAGCGTGCCAGAAGATCAGCAAACTGCAGAGGAGTGCGCAGGGCATAAGCATGCAATCAGAAGGCGTATTGGTGGGCTTCTAACCGTTACAGGGGGACTCTTTCTTCTTTCTTTCTTTTTTAACCCCCCCCCCCAATCTTCCTGGTGCGCGTTGTGTGCAAGGATACCGAGACCTTTGATTGGAGGAGTCCACAACGCCCCACTTACACAGCTGCACTAATGGATACTAGTAGTCAACCCCGACTCAATAGTTGTTTGTTTTGTCAACTTCTGTGTTCTAGTCGTCTCTTCGTTCTCCCTGCATGCAACTTTGTTATCTTTCTTGTGATTATTTTTGTCTTGAGCCGGGTTTGTGTTCTTTGTAAAAAAAAAGAAAGGAAAAAAGGGGGAGTAGCATTAGTCCCTGGCTTCCAACTATCTACCCATGATCAGCGTAGTGCACAGAGTGTTGACCGAGACGATCATAGAGTGCACACACCGAGGCTGAAAAACGTGCATTCACGCGTGAGAGATAGGTACATACTAAGAAAGAGAGGAAGATAAAACCTTAAAAAAGACAGAGTGAGAGTGGGCGTGAGAGAAACAACAAAGCGTCGTGGAGCATGGATTGGACACACACAGGGGCAGGTCAAGAGGAGTAATACACCCACACCCAGACGCACACAAACAGACCGTGGTTAGCCGCCCCCCCCCCCCTCCTCTCCCCTTAATTTTTTTCATTTTATTTTTTTTATATACTATGTGCACATCCCTACAAAGTAATAGGGGGACAAAGACAACAAAGAAGTAGTAGGTGCTACAAGAGCTGTGCTGGTCAGGCGCAGTGCACTCCTCCGACCATTTCGGTCTCGGAATCGACATGGACTGTGCGGGCCAAGGGGGCATACTATGAATGAGAGACTTATGGGAGCATCTGAGAATGCAACAGAAATGAGAAAGAGAAGATCAGAAAAAACACAAATGCAAACGAGAGAGCTTGGAAGCTCAGGGCCCTACGCTATGCTTTTTTGCCTTGATGACCTAGACAAAAAAAAGCATAGGGATGTTATAAATTCTTATAAGTTTCTACTTTTTGTTTTTAGACATAACCTGGGATTCGAACCCGCACTATCGCCCTGCATGCATCCCCCGATACACTTCGCATACATACTAATTCTTCCAAGAAATTAGTTGCTTCACGTTATGATCTTGTATTTGAATGCCCTATTTGAATATGCATTGTGTTCAGCCGTCTTTGAATGTACGGTACGGGATAGGTACGGGACAGGTGCGGGACAGGTACGGGACAGGTACGGTCGAGGGTAATACGACACCGTCTACCACCTTGATGACGGCAAAAAAAGAAAAGGGATGTGATAAATTTTTCAAATCTCCTATTTTTTTAGGCATTACCTGGGATTCGAACCCGCACTATCGCCCCACATGCATTCCCCCATACACTTCGCATTCATACTCATTCTTCCAAGTTGCTTCACGTTATGATCTTGTGTTTGAAAGCCCTATTTGAATATTGCGGCCAGCTGTATGTGGCCAGCTGTGTTAGATGGTACGGTACGAGACAGATACGGGATAGCGCCAGGCGTGACACAAACACACAAACAAACAAACACCAAATTAAAGCTGTGTGGACCCTGGCTAGCGCCAGACGTTACTGAAGTAACGTCTTCTGCATAGCTACGGGAATAATATCGGTTGATCATGCTTCAGCTTACGTAGGTCCCTGACAGAGAGAGAGAGAGAGAGAGAGAGAGAGAGAGAGAGAGAGAGAGAGAGAGAGAGAGAGAGAGAGAGAGAGAGGGAGAGAGAGCCTTACTGGCATTACTTGGGTTGCTAAAAGTGATACACCCAGACCCATGCAACACAAACAGACAGTGGTTGCTCCCCTTACTGGCACTGCTAGGCTCGCTGGCACCTTGCTTCTGGTGGAGAGCGGCAAGTAGGCCGTCAAAGTCACTCTGGTGTTCGATCCAATCATCAGCATGCTGTGTTGACGTGCCAAGGCCTGCACAAGAACAGAAACAACACAAAGTCATTGCGGACACCGTCGGTGATCAGCAACAGCAACAGCAGCAAGCACTTCTCCTAGTCAGTCAATACCTGCCAGCAGTTTGAATGGGCATTGACAAAAGAACTGGGAAATTAAAAAACTCCTTAGCGATCAATTCGAGAGAGAGAGAGAGAGAGAGAGAGAGAGAGAGAGAGAGAGAGAGAGAGAGAGAGAGAGAGAGAGAGAGAGAGAGAGAGAGAGAGCGTGGAGAGAGACACAGAGAAAAAGAAGGAGCAGAGAGCAAAAAGCACTGCTTACCCAGTGTATCATTCTTGAAATTGACCTTGACATGGCTAGTTGTACCAGCCTCGGCTGCACCGAGTCCACTTCCGTCACTCCAGCCCATCTTCTCCAGCATGCGATATCCAAACTTACTCTTGTCTGCACAGAGTACAGTTTCAAAGACCACACCACATACAAGTACAAGTAGATAGCTGAGAACATGAACAAAACATGAACAGTGATTAGAGAGTGGACACGATGTGGTGCGTGTGTGTGTGTGTGTGTGCGCGCGCATGTGTGTGTGTGTGTGTGTGTGTGTGTGTGCATGCACATGTTGGTGCGAGCACCCTTACACCAGCAAGTGCAGGGCGCGCATTGATTGGTAGCTGCCCGTGCGGTTATATTCCGCGTGGCGTATACTAGGTGGGTATTGGAGGTTGGCACGCATGCCTTTGCTAATCACAGTTAAGCCAGCCTAAGCCGACTGCTCAAGGGAAGCCGACTGCTCAAGGGAAGCCGACTGCTCAAGGGAAGCCGACTGCTCAAGGGAAGTCGACTGCTCAAGGGAAGCCGACTGCTCAAGGGAAGCCGACTGCTCAAGGGAAGTCGACTGCTCAAGGGAAGCCGACTGCTCAAGGGAAGCCGACTGCTCAAGGGAAGCCGACTGCTCAAGGGAAGTCGACTGCTCAAGGGAAGCCGACTGCTCAAGGGAAGCCGACTGCTCAAGGGAAGCCGACTGCTCAAGGGAAGCCGACTGCTCAAGGGAAGCCGACTGCTCAAGGGAAGCCGACTGCTCAAGGGAAGCCGACTGCTCAAGGGAAGCCGACTGCTCAAGGGAAGCCGACTGCTCAGGGAAGCCGACTGCTCAAGGGAAGCTGACTGCTCAAGGGATCTTACAAATATGGCCCATGTGTACAGGTCGTCTCTTTTTCCAAGGTCATTTGACTGGAAATCACATCTCTTGGTTCTGGATGTATTGGTCCTGTGGCACAGGTGGTCGGCTTACCCGGGGTCAGTGGGCTGGAAATCACATCCCTTGGTCGTGGTTCTAGTGGTCCTGTTCGACAGGTGGTCGGCGTATCAGAGTGGTCGCATTGACAGGCTACACTGTAGGTCTATTGGGCAGCTACCGAACGCAACGATGTGAGTGTTGGCAAGAGAGACAGTACTGTTCGAGTGCACGCGTGCAGGTTACGACGCAGGCAAAGTCCCGTACGCTGACCCTCAATCACAGTGGCACACTCTTGGTTATGGACTCTTGCTTGTGTTGATGTACAGTGAAACCTGTAACTAAAGGCCACCGTGACTAGCGACCAGCCTGGTACTACAGACCACTTCGCCAGGCATGGACGGTCTCACATTCCTGTATGGTTGTGCGGTGCAAACCTCTAACCAAGGACCACCTGCTACTAAAGACCGCTTTCTCTGGCCCCAAGGGATGGTCGTTAGTCACAGGTTTTACTGTACGTGTTGACATCTATGTACAGCACTCAGATCTTGCCTGCTACAATAGACCTTATGCCGGTTAGTACTAGTTGTACAGATTCACGAAATCCCGTAGAATCCCGTAGACCCGGTTGGGTGTTCATTGTGTGCTATGCATGCGCATTTGACCTCTTAGCCTCATAATTTATTGGCAAGCAATCGCTTTTCCAGCTTCTTCACTTTGGTTAGAACTAATGACTAGCTAGATCTTTGTCAGAACATGGATTTTGTGTGAAATTCCTTCAGGGCCCATCTCTTAGTGGAAATAGCAGAAAAATTACAATAGGGTCCTGCACATTCAACACCCAACCGGGTCTACGGCCGGGATTTCGTGGATCTTGTACTAACCGGCATAAGCCTTATTACAGGCCTGCTCAATGAAATCCAGCCACGCATGACTCAAGTACCGTAAGGTACCGTTGATCCGCCCCCAGTCGATTTTCTGCCTGTGAAGCGACTTCGGCGTATACAAGGAAATACGATGTTGAACCGACGCATGCAATGCTGTACACAATACGTGCCAGTGCAGGATGAAAATGTGCACAATCCAGCACATTGAGTCTGATCTTCCACGTTGTTGTACATCGTACTGCGCTTCACAGCCTTGATCTAATTCCAGCCCCCTGCTGAAAACCCAGATGGGAAGCAACATGGCGTGTGTGTGTGGGGGGGGGGGGGGGGGGGGGGGAGGATCAACGGTACTTTACGGTGCGCGCCGGGCGTTACACAGCCCTAGACCTGCAAACACTGGGTTGCGAAATGGTGCAGGGCGCAGACTTGAGTGACACAACTGGATTTCATTGAGCAGGACTGTACTATGCATGTGCTGTACTAGAAAATCAGTGGGCGTATCACGGATGCACTTGGCTTGCCGGTTCTCTAGATCTGCACGGTCGTGCGGCGCGCGTGTGCACGTGTTTGCGACTTTGTGTGCGCATGTGTGTGTGTGTGTGTGTGTGTGTGTGTGTGTGTGTGTGTGTGTGTGTGTGTGTGGTGTGTGTGTGGTGTGTGTGTGTATGTGTGTGTGTGTGTGTGCAGGAGTATACACATGCATTCGTATTCACGCCTTCAATGCACCAGACACCAGAACTAATTACTTACTTCTGGGGGGGGGGGGGGGGGGGGTAGGGTAGTTAAAATCTACTCGTGGATATCTCGCATTAAATTTTGCGAAACGATCCGACCCCGTTATACGTGTATTGTACATGTACCATCCCACGTCGGTATGACCATGAGATCATGTCTTTTCTGCACGTATCTAGCCGAATGTACTACATCTACGGTTGAACAGTGTAGAGGACAAAAATATCAGGCAGCACATTCCAATGCAGCATTGGCCCTTCAATCAAGTCATTCGATGCATGGAAAGGACTCAGAGGATACGGCTGTAAAGATTCACGCCTGCTCGAACTCATGGCTATGCCACAGTTTGCTCCTACTAGTGCTAGGCGAGATATGATCAGTTCACACTCAGTGTGAATGACGGAATGGCGATTATCGTCACGGACAAACACACACACACGGATCAACAAATTTCACTAACCTTTTGACCAGTTCGTTCCACGTGGATCAGAGCCCCATTTCTGCTTCTTTCGCCTCTCGGCGAGACACACTTCGGCCATCGTAAGCGATTTGGTCAAGCTCACAGCAATACGGAGGACCAGCAAGAAAAAGTCAATGAAAAGGGCTCTTACTCCGGCCGTAGTGATCAGTGATCTTCGTTGGATTCTTCTTTCACAAAAAAAGCAGGGAGCAGTAAAAAAATATTCTCTTGACCCTTGCTTGTGTTGAGCACGTGGTACCATCGTCTTTGGAAATCATTGCGAATGTTACAGACTTCGCCAGGTTTACTAAAACCACCCCGAAGAAACGTAATATTGTCTGAATTATGAAGCGCAGGTGCTTGAATTTTGTGCTTCGCTTCGCGCGATATTTACCACTTTGGCGCCAAATGAAAAAAGAAAGCGATTACGAACTTTCAGCGAAACGAGTACGAATATCAAATGAGCAAGTGGAAGAAGAGGATGATGGTCATGAAGTTGTGTGTTTTGAGAAAGTCAGTCACTGCCTAATTCTCATTGACCATGCCACTCCTGGCCAGGAAAACATTTGTGCCTAAGCAGCTGCCGCCGGACCTGAATCCTGACACGGAGGTTTTCACGATCAGTGAGACGAAGGAGGCGTTCACGAGCTACGAGTATCCTCACGCCGTGCGAAGGCTTGCGTGACCTGATCTTTGCCTGGGCCAAGATTTGTCTCTGGCATGCTGTGTGAACTGTTGCATGCTGAGATCTGTGTGCGTCAGAGCGCCGGATTCTCCACCTTTCGAAGGCGTTCTGTTTGAAGTTTCCGATTTTTTTATTAGTCAAGATAGTTGTGATTTTAGCACATTTGGTGGCAATTTCGGCCGGAATATTTGTATGTAAGATCCTTGACCGATCTATTTTGTAACGCAGAGAATTTCTTGCTCGTTATGAGCAGTTGCGGCAGCCAGTATGGTCCTGCTCAACAACGGGAAAGATCAATTTGACGTACGAACAGGCTTGCAAAAGCGAGCAGGCTGCGAACAAGCAGCTGCAAGCGTTCCCAGCGCACTTTCGTCGGCCGGCGCTGCTCTTCGTTCATCACTGTACGTATGTCCGTGTCTGTTTTTGCGTCCCTGTGTGTGTTCTGCGTGTCTGGATTTTGTGGTGAAGCGATCTCCAAGCTGCATGGGTTCTCTGTTTGCTCACGAAATCATGCCATGTATCCTCAGTTTCCCTGAGTGTCACGCACATGCACACACACACACGCACATGCACTTGTGTACTGATTGATCTCAACGGCCATTTTTAACTGCAACTGATGACGTCACAGCGGGGTCACTCCCAGTAAAAAAATTAAAATTTGTTTATGGCATTCTGGCAGGTGACTGGTGTCAGCTTGGCTGCAAGCAACTTTATGCCGAATCCTGAGAAGGAGTAAATGGCACTATCCCATTGGCATTGCTGTCGGCATTGCTGTTTTGCAAGAAAATATACCAATTGCGCAGGCAAATTCCAGAGTGGCCTCGTTCGGTTGGTCTGTGAGTGCGCACGCGTTTCCTAGCAACCCGGCCGCTCTCAGTCAGCATGACGGAGGTTTAGCATCACGAGTTCCGCGTTCAAGCTCGCCAAAAACTGTTCGGTTTGGAAACTGGATTGCGAACTTTCGCGCTTTTCGCTCCGGAAAAGCGGTCGAAACGCGAATCGCGGATTCGTGGCAGGACGGCCATAAATTCACTGCAGTGTACTGTCTGTGCACATTTACGGCATGCACTAGTCATTTCGTAAACGTCATGCAAGCACGAATTCTGTTTGCTAATCCTAGTATTGAACGCAAATTTAGTAGTATTTAGTAGTATTGAACGCGAATTGAACGCAAATTTAATTTTTTTGTGTTTTATTCGTATCGTCTTCAGGCAAGAGCTCTCTAGAGCCGATCTTAGATGATGCCTACGAGGAGCTGCACACACGCTTTGCCGTGGGTGAACCGGTGGAGGCGGCAGTCGAGCCGAACGGGAAACAGTAAGCGGCTGAAGATGTTATTTCCATCGTGGGTGGTGTTTGTGTGTGGATGAAATAGAGTTGTACGCGTGTGCGAACACACTCGCACGTGTACGTATTCCGAGAGAAGCATACGCATCTGCAATGCCAGTGGCTGTGCATAAGGCTGATTTTTGCATGCGCGCACATACACACGCCCACACACACGTACGCGCCCGCTCACGTCCGTACACACACACACGCACGCTTGCATACCCAAACAAACACACTATTGTATGCATGTGCACAACATTTGTGAGGTCAACACGCGGCAACAATGTCTCTCTCTCTGTCTGTCTCTCTCTGTGTGTCTCTCTTAGGCTGGACGCCGTCATTCTGGAGATACACGAACCGCCCGTTACCGTAAGTAAACGGGGCAAAAACAAACACAACCAAACGCGTTGGAGCTCCACGGGAAGCAGTGAGACTTGTAATGGAAACCCTTTTTCTATTAGTGGTATTTCGCCCCTGGACAAAGCCTGCATGACTCCGAATGTCCTTAGCCCACCGAACTCCACCGTACGTGAGGGCGCAGGCACCTCAGCACGTGCGGGCCCTGGCGATGCTGCGAGCGGGTCGGATAACTGCACCACGAACGGAAGTGACGTTTTTTACTCGCCCTGTGGCGCTACTAGTAATGGAACCAATGAATCCTTTACGGGTGTTACTAGTGTAAATGGGAATGCATTGCAGGTGAGTTTGCAGCCAAGTTTCGGTTGCGTCGCGGTCTGTTCTTTTGTGCCTTTCCCTTTCTATTTTAGCCCGATATCTGCTGGCCTAAAGTAGAATTGGCTCGCTGCGGGACGGTCTTCAAGCGAGGAATGCATGGAAGTCCAGTTCGACCTTCCCAAAGGCCAGCTCTGCCGCTTGCCGAAACTGTTCCGCGACGAGTTTTTGAAATTCGGTCTCGGTACACTGTAGACTGGTGACCCGTTGCTATCTGGAATCGTTTGCGGCTTTCGCGATGGATTTGGAATCGCCAAAGTAGGCCTTCCCGAAGCATCGAACTGTAGTACAGTGAAAGCTGTCTAAGGCGACCGCTCAAGGGACGAGAACAAGCGGTCACCTTGGTCAGGTGGTCTTCTTATCCAGGTTCAGTGGGTCACGTGAACGTATTCAATACATGTCATGTACACGTGACGTATTATTTTGATCAGTGCGTGCATCACAGTGCACACACCTATGCTACTACACTGGATCACGACTCATGTGAGCCTCAGACCATGTACAGAACTGTTCATACCGTAAAATCGCGGATAAAAGCCGGCCTTATAGGCATATAAGCCGCTTTCTGCATCAGGCTTGTATGCAAACCATGCTTATATGCACCGCTGATATTTTTGCCAGGCTTGTACGCAGGATTGTACGCGCGACACGCGTAGATCTACCACTGACTACTGGTACATGGTCGTGGCAGCAGTTTTACTATGCACCGTACGTAGCGCATGCACTCTTGACCTACCCGATCCGCGCTTGCATAGAAGCCAGGCTTCTACGCGCGACAGGCTTATATGCATTTGACCCGTTTGATTTTCAGGCGTCTATCCGCGATTTGCTTGTATGCAAACCTGGCTTTTATCTGCGACTTTACGGTATACACGTCCTGCTCTGATGTGTAGATCATGTGTGGCGCACAATCTCAGTGCAATGCGTGCATGGACATGTGCTAGTAAGTAGTAGGGTGAAACGCGGTTGCGGGTGGGTGGTCGTTGGTCGCGTTGAGCGGGTGGTCGCCTTATCCGAGCTGTTTCGAATGTGAATGCGTCCGTGACAAGGGCAAGTGGTCGCCATGGTCGAGTGGTCGCCATATCCGATTGGTCGCCATTACAGGTTTTACTGTAATACGGCTGATGAAATTGACTCCGATCACAAATAGTTGCAGGTGCAAATTGGTCTGTGCACGCATATCATGAACTAAAACCGGCACATCTCCCGGTTTACTGTAGACGGGTAGCTAGTAGACAGCACAGAAGAGGCTCCGCCGTTCCCATTGAGCCGAGAACTTCCTGGATGTCTCTTGGCGCTTGGTCCTGATCTTTCCAACATGCTGTGGACCGTCCGAATCCGCCAGGAAGCGAAGTGAAACCAACTTTCGTTTCGGAGCTGTGCGTACAGAATTCCACTAGGCGAGCTATCAACCTTGACAGCTTGGCCAATCGCGGAAAATGAACTCGCTGGCTTGGAAAAGCTCAGCGTAGATGGACGGTGAAAAAAACAAAAGCACGGCGAAGATATGGCGTTTCAGGAGCTCTTGTTTGTGGCGCGTCACGGATTATGCCTATCGACAGCTGAGAGTTTTCTAGTAGCCCACTGTGCATTGCCAAATCTGGATTGCACAAGTAATGCATGTGAGTACGCTGGGATCAGCAATGCATTGTTCAACACCCTGCACGATCATGCCCGGATGGCTGTGTGGGGTGTACCGTGTTGAGCGGTACGGATTACGTCATTGCGCGATGGGCTTATTCAACCTGACGCGTTCAAATATGAGGCAGCTCTCGCTTCCAACTTTCCATATTCGTTGTTTGAGTCTTTCCGCTTTCTTTCGCGTTTTTCTTCTTCTTTTCTGTTCTCTTCCACCCGTAGCCACCAAAGAGTGCCGACACGTCCATGGAAGTTGCCAAGGCAACACAGGTTGGCCACGGTCAGCTGAGCTCTGACCCGATGCTAAGCCCACCGGAGTTGGTCGTTAACGGCGGTGAAAAGCCTAACGTGGACGATGCCACCACCTCGGCTGCCGCTGCTGCGTCGAATGCTCCAGCAGCAAACGCAACAACAACGGCATCGTCGACGAGTAGCGGTGCCAAGATTGGCGAGTCCGAAGATGATGAAGACGAGGAAGAGATGGAGGTAAGGCATGCTTCAACTGTCGGGTGTGTGGGTGGTGGGTGTGGGTGGGCTTGTGTGGGTATGTGTGGGCACTCGTGTATGTGGGTGGGTGTGTGCGCTTTATTATTATTATTTTTTTGCAATGCATGGGTATGGGCACGGCTTAATTTGTTCCTATCTCTAGTAAGGCGAGACTAAAATAAAATCGAGATTCCCGGGCAGGACCCATGTGAAATTGGCCGATTTGTTTTGCTATGTCACAGTATTTCCGGTAATTTTTTTACAGACAACAGGCACGCAGTTTCCCCAAACAATTCTTTGTATTTCAGCCAACAGCGGCCCTGATCTGTACATCAGGGAGTCGTACAAGCCCGGGTTTGTGCGACTCCAAGTCCGAGACAGATCTTCTCACGTGATCAGTAGTACTGTACAATGAACAGTTAAACGAAATGTCTTCGGCTCAATTTTGGTGCGGGAGGGCCGGGAATCTCTCTTTTTTGGTATCGCGTCACAAAATCGTGATACACGAGCGTGTTTGACCCGCGGTAAGGTTCCCGTCCCCATTCTCCGAGCGAATGGTGTACAGTAAGACCTCGCTTATCCGGATCCCTCGCTATCCGGAAGAAAATCGTTGGTTACCGATTTACAGCATATGTCATACATACATACATAGAGTAGGTGTGTTCGATTATCCGGTTCTCTCGCCTATCCGGATATTTTTGCGGAAAACGGATGTGTGCGGTTAAGCGACGTCTGACTGGGCTTAGAGTTCTGTCTGCCATTTTCCATAATGGCCTGAATGTGATGGCAGAAGTGAACAAAAAAACGACTAATGTGCGGCCGTGCACGCGTGTGTGTGTGTGTGCGCGTGCGTGTGTCTTTGTTGTTTTGTTTGTCACAGCCAAGTCCTACCTATTCAGTGAAGTTCAGTGATGCAGCAGGCACCATCAAACGTGATGTGGACAGCGATGACATCACGTAGGTCTTTTATATACTTCCTCCGTTAACAAAAACTTCGTGATGGAATTTTGAGGGGCTGATGTGGGCACAAACTGCCGTGAAATGAGTCGCAATCACTTTCTTGGCCTTCCCTGGCATGCCATGACAGAGATAAGATGAAAGGAAAGCGACCTTTCACAACAAGCCGAGCCGAGTCGATGGTTGCGCTGTGGAAACATAGGTGATGACAGTCATGGCGAGCGAAACTGAAATACCACTTCTCCGAGGGTATATTGCGCTGCTTGGCCTCTCTACCACTTTAGCACTGAGTAAGTTGGAGAGTGATAGAGAGCGATAAAACGGAGCAGCGAGCCCACACGATGAGCGAGTGAACAAGGAGCTGCTCCGATCGCACGGCTCAATGAAAATAATTCTGAACTCAAGTTCTTGTTCAACCTGCGCAAAGCCCAGATTCGAATGCTGATGACCATGCATTCCTTCAGAAGTCTGCAGTCCGATACGAGTCTCGTGGCTAAAGAAAGTCGATTGGACTTGCTAGCCGCTGCTGTTCAGTGCTGTTATCCATTAGAGAAAATGGAATCAGTTTGGCTGTGCCTTTACTCCTCGTTTCGCGGAGTTCTGGAGAGCGAAGATGAAACCAGGGAGTCGTAAAATATTTTTCACGACTCCCTGGTGGAAACGAGTAATCGCCATCGCGGCGGATCACGCACCTTGAAAGCCAACTTACTTGAACGACGGCGACATCAAGGTCAGGGGAGTGTGATCAAAGAAGCCGAGGCAAGGCTGAAACGACCTGAACAACGACTCGAGAGAGATGACGACTCGCGTACAGCAGATGACGACTCGCGTGCAGCAGATGACGACAGCGACGCAGGTCAAAAATGAATCGAGCGAAAGCGACGCAAACTGAACTCTCTGCTCATTCCGCCAACAGTTTCTCTTGTGAAGACGCTGTACATAGGCTGAATTACCTTCGTCCAGTGATTTGCAGTCGATACAAACTGTTCTTGATCTGTTCTAAGCGTTTTCACATCGGTCAAAATCCATCACGAAGTTTTTGTTAACGGAGGAAGTATTTTGTATATTTTTTCACGATTATACGCGAGTGAGATCGTTTCTAGGTCCACACGAATCTGAGGGTAGCAGTCGTTGGTTGGCTCAATGGGAGGTATGCATCGAAGATGGCCGTCAACCCATTCTAGGACATTCATGAGCATGACCTCACAAAGTTCATGGCCTTTTATGCAGAGTTGGTATCAAGGTGAGTACGGTTGTAGTGGGCTTGCCCCGCAAAGCCTAATGGCGGGGAAATGGATGCATACGTCCCATTCTATTGAATCTCTCTCTCTCTCTCTCTCTCTCTCTCTCTCTCTCTCTCTCTCTCTCTCCCTCGGGGAGACCACGTGACCAATTTCCGACATTGCCCGAATGCAAGTGTGTGTTTTTGTCCGTTGTCTGTTCTTTGCAGGCGGTTGAAGCGCGCCCCGACACGCGACACCATTCGCACATTCATCAAGGGCTGCGCCCGTCGCGTGCGCTGGCGAGACAGCAACGTCTGGGTGGTGAAGGTACGCCGGCTTGTGTGTGTGTGTGTGTGTGTCCAAACGGGAGACCCGCTGGGCCAGTTTATTGCAGTGAACAAACAAGTACAGTGTGTGTGTGTGTGTGCGCGTGTGTGTGTGTGTGTGTGTGTGTGTGTGTGTGTGTGTGTGTGTGTGTGCGTAATACATGGTTGGTCTTCCTACCTGAAACGACTTGGGTTGTAGCATGACCAAGCTGTAGTTGGCCCACCTCTTGCAAAGCTCGGCAGGGGCAGGTTAAATTTGACCTCTACCCTGCTGTTGTAGTGGCAGTAGTGAAACCAGGTTTCTGCTGCATTCCAGCAATGTTTACTACTGTCGCGGACATGGAAATCCAGTCGATTGACCGAGGCCGGCGCCCTCAGCGCGTACAGAACGTACCGTATTATCTCTAATATAAGCACAGTCTCCAATAATAGCACGTCTCCAATAATAGAACACCTCGGGGCGGCATTCAAAAAATGAAAGTGCTCCATAATAAGCACACTGTGAAGTGCTCTGAAAACCACCCGGGCCTCCAATAAAGGACACCGTACGGTAGTATAATATTATGTACGCACATTGCATGTACATGTAGTCATGTACATGTTATCATGGTCAGTCGCGCGATGCACCAACCTCTGAAATGAGGTTGAAATAATAATGGAACAGTCTCCAATAAAGGAACGTCTCCATTAATAGCACGGGGCGGAGGTACATTGAAAAAATAAAGGACCGTGCTTATAATAGTAGGGCTGTCAGCGAACGCACTGCGCAGGCCTCTGCGCATGCATTGCGTCATCGATTTTTTGAACGTGATCGCGGCCGACAGAGAAAACATGGCCGTGGTCTGTTTGCACCGCTGGGAGTCGTAAAATTACTGTTCTTCTGTCCCCGCGACCATTCAAATCATACGCGATACGGAGGACCCACGTACTCACCACGTTCTCCCCGGCCGATTTCTCTGAAAGTTTGCACATCGTGAAACACCAGTATGAGAGGTGTTCAGGCCAATTTTCAAGGGATTTCCCTGGTTGGATCGTTCCAAAATCGAACTTGCATTTCTCGCTCGCGGCCATTTCTTGCGCGATGGAAGCGCCCTGCCCTGGTGAGTAACCAGCGTCGCGCTTGGTAGAGAGTTGCTGCAATCAGCTCCCTGATGTCTTCGCTGCCATTGTCAGAAGCGATGGACCATGAATTTGTTTGAGAGTCTCTGGATACTACTTTTCCTCAGCCTAGTTTTCAGCCATTCCGTGCATCTTCTTCGCACGATCTATTTTGCAAAAATATGTAAGTGTTCATGAGTTTTCTTGTCGGCCGCGCGTAAATGGGCCAGGCTGACCTGCGCAGATGGGCTGCGCAGTGCGTTCGCTGATATCCCTAATATTAGAGATAATACGGGTAAGTCGTTGCATGCTGTGCACAATCATGTTGATCCTATAGGCTACTGTAAAAGCAGAAATTTTCGGTGGTGTAATATTTTCGGTATTCTCCAAAATCGGCGGTTCGGTAGAGGGAAATTTTGGGTAAACCCCGTTTTCCAGGCAAGTGTACTAGGTACTACATGATTGTATACAGTATCGGTTGTACCGAAATTTTCGGTGCGTTTTAATATCGGTAAAAAATTTTGGCACCGAAGTCCCCGAAAATAAAACAC